TCCGACCCATGCTTTGTTAGCTTTCCAAAATCACACCAATCTAAATTTTCATACAATGTTTTTCAAATTTTCGGGGAAATTTTCTGTTACAAAAAGAAAAAGGGCTTCACTTTGTTCCCACTACCTTCCAACCACAAAAGATAAGCTGTTCTTTTCATACCTTTCCTCAGTCCTTTCCTCTTAATTTTTAGGTCCCTTTGGCATTTTCTTCCAAAAGGCCCTTTTCGTCACAATGAAAACTTGTTGGGTTAATCCTTTCTGCCCTACAAGTTCCAAATTGTAAACACCCCATTTCAGGCCCCAAATTTTCACAATTTGCAGCCTACCAGGGCCTTCAACACTGTGTTTTCCACAACGGTTTCTTAAACTATCAAACTCTTTGTATGTCCCTTAAATTTTCCACAAACTGCCAGATTGTCCAGGCATTTTTTTAAGACAGCAACTCTTTCTTCACACAAATTAGTAGACTACTACTGTTTCCATAATTCTTTTCCTTAACCCACAATAATACTGTTCCATCTCTTCCATAACCAGGCCCAATTATTTGTTGAAAACTACTCCTTTTGCCAACATTGTGTCTTTTGATTGGTTCTTCTTCCAGGATGGTTTAATGTTATTTATTTTGCTGTAACACTGGCAAGTACACCCAACCACTCCAAATTTATCATAAAAATTACACTTAAATTCATGGTGGTTCACTTCCCCCCACAGGGAACTTTATGAACTTTCTTTGGGGTATGGTTATTTAATTTCACAGTTGCATCCCAAAAAAACCACTAAAACAATTGGTAACAACAAAATTTGGATGTATGAGCAAAGTTTCAGCACCCAAGACCAAGCCAAACTGGCGCAGTCTGGCCTGGGGAATATTCCAAAAGGAATAGAAGAACCTAAACCAGTTGAAGCCACAGAACCCCAACATACAAGTCCGAACCAAATCACACATAACGGGTTCCCTGATGTTAATCATGTTATGTATTTGATGTACCCATCAGCTAATATACTATACATGTGTGATGAATAGTAATAATACTAATATTGCCATATGTTGTTTTAAGAAAACAAATAAAGGAATATATTGCATTGTCTACAGAAGGGAAAAAGGAGAGAAGGAGACGAGCAGAACTACTGCAGTTTTATGGCAGTGGGCAGAAAGAAGACACACCTTATGATATTAATTCCAAGCACTTTAACCATGATATGTATGTCCAGAAGATTATCAAGGTAAGTCAGTCAGCCTTAATTTAAAACTTGCATAAATAAAAGTAATTTCAAATGACCAAGGAATAGAAATACCAAAGCCATAGTAAATATCTTCATTTATTATCCATTTTTTTTTTTTTTAAATGCTGGCCATCTTCCACTGAATTTTGTTTTAAATGAGACCTCGATGAATAGTTCCATTACATCTATAGTGGCATTCACACAATGATGTAATGTATGTTATGCATGAGTACATACGAACATATGTCTATGTGATCTGTTATATAATTCCAGGAATTGTTTTAGTTTATGGTTAATATCTGTATTGTCTTTTTAAGCAGATCACAATCTGTATTACTGATTTTACAAGCTCTTATTTTCTTCTCATTGTTTCTGGTTGTGTGAATATTTGATTCCCCCTCATCAAGAGCACCAGCAATTTCCATTATACTTGTTGTTTTGCACCGCCTCAAAGTCATTCTAAAACTTTCACTTTTTTCAGTACCATCATAGACTCTCTCTTATTCTTTTTGACACTTCTAGCATCACGAGTATTCCCACAGTAGTGGATACCATTGTTAATATCTGAGAGATGAGATAGGTTAATGAAAATACACAAAATATGATGATAAAAACAGAGTGTGTAAGATAGGCAATTTTCCCAGAAAGCAGTAGTTGGCATGAGTTGCAGTTCCCCTTGTCAGTTTTTAAGTTCAGGACCTGGTATTGTATGATTAAGATGAAATGTTCATTACCCTCAGAAATTTCTCCATCTTAGGCCCAACTGACCAAAAAATACTAGCGAGAAAAAATACTAGCGAGAGTAGTACCCAGAGTTTGTGCATACATTGATGCTATGGCAACTAGAATACTAGCGAGAGTAGTACCCAGAGTTTGTGCATACATTGATGCTATGGCAACTAGAATACTAGCGAGAGTAGTACCCAGAGCTTGTGCATACATTGATGCTATGGCAACTAGAATACTAGCGAGAGTAGTACCCAGAGCTTGTGCATACATTGATGCTATGGCAACTAGAATACTAGCGAGAGTAGTACCCAGAGTTTGTGCATACATTGATGCTATGGCAACTAGAATACTAGCGAGAGTAGTACCCAGAGTTTGTGCATACATTGATGCTAGGCAACTAGATTACTAGCGAGAGTAGTACCCAGAGTTTGTGCATACATTGATGCTATGGCAACTAGAATACTAGCGAGAGTAGTACCCAGAGTTTGTGCATACATTGATGCTATGGCAACTAGAATACTAGTGAGAGTAGTACCCAGATTTTGTGCATACATTGATGCTATGGCAACTAGAAACTAGCGAAAAGTAGTACCCAGAGTTTGTGCATACTTGATGCTAAAGGCAACTAGAATACTAGCGAGAGTAGTTTCCCAGAGTTTGTGCATACATTGATGGTATGGCAACTAGAATACTAGCGAGAGTAAATACCCAAGTTTTTTGCATTTCATTGATGCTATGGCAACTAGAATACTAGCGAGAGTAGTACCCAGAAACTTGTGCATACATTGATGCTATGGCAACTAGAATACTAGCGAGAGTATACCCAGAGTTTGTGCATACATTGATGCTATGGGAACTAGAATACTAGCGAGGTAGTACCCAGAGTTTGTGCATACATTGATGCTATGGCAACTAGATACTAGCGAGAGTAGTACCCAGAGTTTGTGCATACATTGATGCTATGGCCCAAATAGAATACTAGCAAAAGTAGTACCCAGAGTTTTTTGCATACATTGATGCTAGGCAACTAGAATACTAGCGAGAGTAGTACCCAGAGTTTTGTGCATACATTGATGCTTGGCAACTAGAATACTAGCGAGAGTAGTACCCAGAGTTTGTGCATACATTGATGCTAGGCAAAATAGAATACTAGCGAGAGTAGTACCCAGAGTTTGTGCATAAAATTGATGCTATGGCAACTAGAATACTAGCGAGAGTAGTACCCAGAGTTTGTGCATACATTGATGCTATGGCAACTAGAATACTAGCGAGAGTAGTACCCAGAGTTTGTGCATACATTGATGCTATGGCAACTAGAATACTAGCGAGAGTAGTACCCGAGTTTGTGCATACATTGATGCTATGGCAACTAGAATACTAGCGAAGTAGTACCCAGAGTTTGTGCATACATTGATGCTATGGCAACTAGGATACTAGCGAGAGTAGTACCCAGAGCTTGTGCATACATTGATGCTATGGCAACTAGAATACTAGCGAGAGTAGTACCCAGAGTTTGTGCATACATTGATGCTATGGCAACTAGAATACTAGCGAGAGTAGTACCCAGAGTTTGTGCATACATTGATGCTATGGCAACTAGAATACTAGCAAAAGTGGGACCCGAGTTTGTGCATACATTGATGCTATGGCAACTAGAATACTAGCGAGAGTAGTACCCAGAGTTTGTGCATACATTGATGTATGGCAACTAGAATACTAGCGAGAGTAGTACCCAGAGTTTGTGCATACATTGATGCATGGCAACTAGAATACTAGCGAGAGTAGTACCCAGAGTTTGTGCATACATTGATGCTATGGCAACTAGGATACTAGCGAGAGTAGTACCCAGAGTTGTGCATACATTGATGCTATGGCAACTAGAATACTAGCGAGAGTATAAACCCCGAGTTGTGCATACATTGATGCTATGGCCCAAATGAATACTAGCGAGAGTAGTACCCAGAGTTTGTGCATACATTGATGCTATGCAACTAGAATACTAGCAGAGTGTACCCAGAGTTTGTGCATACATTGATGCTATGGCAAAATAGAATACTACGAGAGTAGTACCCAGAGTTTGTGCATACATTGATGCTATGGCAACTAGAATACTAGGAGGAGTAGTACCCAGAGTTTTTTGCATACAATTGATGCTATGGCAACTAGAATACTAGCAGAGTGTACCCAAGTTTGTGCATACATTGATGCTATGGCAACTAGGAAAACTCAGTAACCCGATTTTCATACCTTGATATAATGAAAATGGGTAAAATATTTAAATGGCTTTCATTAATTAAAGTTTTTTGTAAAATTTTGTAAATTGATGTAAGGCAATAGAATATAGGAGAATAGTCCAGTATTTTTTGCTAATTTTATGTTTTTCATAAATATACGAGATTCCCGGTTTCCATTATTATCCTAATATTGGGGGCGTTTGTGAGTACAAACTTGAATAAATAACTACAAAGGATGGTACCCCCATTTAGTTACATTTTTTGAATGCAATTTTGAGAACATAAACCCCAAAATTTTATTTAAAGGTTTAATGAGATTAAATAATACATGCTTTATTTAAATTTTTATGTGTAAGTAAAGGTTAAGGGTTTATGGTATGATTTAAAATGTATCATTTATTTCTATTTTTAAGCTATTTATATTAAAGGCAGGACATTAAACCCTTTTGAGGCCGCACTGGGGTAGTACAAAACTTTTGATTAACACTTCTAACTCCCTTTTGGCAAGTTATTCAAGCTATTTTAGGGAAAAATTTTGGAATTTTTTGTTTAAAAGGATTTAAATAAATTACTGTAAAAATTTATTTTAAGAAAAAATTTTTCCATTAAAATTAAATTTTTATTGTAAAATAAGAGTTTTGGGAAAATAATTTTCTTATATTTTGTATTAGTTGAAATAAATGTAAAGCTTATAAAAATTAATACAGAATATCAATTTAGAAGAAAATAATTTCAATAATTTTTAATAGGGTTCAATTTTCAGTTTTGTTAGTATTGCTTTTAATATTGTGTTGATACATTTGTGTGTAGATGAAAGAAGGATCAGTGAAAATGGAAGCGCAGATCACTCGACTCCAGGACAACATGTCGAGAATCACTGCATCATCCACCAGCATTACCTCTGCTCTACAAGTTAGTTAGCTCTGTTACCTCTGCTTTGCTATCACTGTTACCACTGCTACACTATCACTGTTACCACTGCTTTGCTATCACTGTTACCATTGCTACACTATCACTGTTACCACTGCTTCACTATCACTGTTACCTCTGCTTCACTATCACTGTTACCTCTGCTTCACTATCACTGTTACCTCTGCTTCTCCATCACTGTTACCACTGCTACACCATCAGGAAGGCCTTCAACACAGTTCCTCACAGGAGATGAGTGCAGAAGCTGGAGGATCAGGCATGTATAATAATGAAGGGCACTACAATGCATCAGAGAATACCTCACAGGGAGGCAACAGCGGGTCATGGTACATGATGAGGTATCACAGTGGGCTTCTGTGACGAGCAGGGTCCCTCAGGGGTCAGTCCTATGGCCAGTGCTATTTTTCATATATGTGAATGACATGATGGAAGGGATAGACTCTGAAGTGTCTGTGTTCGCAGATGATATGAAGCTAATGAGAAGGATTAAATCGGATGAGGATCAGGCAGGACTACAAAGAGACCTGGATAGGCTGGTCCAGCAACTGGCTTCTCAATTTCAACCCTGCCAAATGCAAAGTCATGAAGATTGGGGAAAGGCAGAGAAGACCGCAGCCAGAGTTTAGGCTAGGTGGACAAAGGCTGCAAACTTCACTCAAGGAGAAAGATCTTGGGGTGACCATAACACCGAGCACGTCTCTGGAAGCACACATCAGCCAGATAACTGCTGCAGCATATGGGCGCCTGGCAAACCTGAGAATAGTAAGGAGTACCTTAATAAGGAGTCGTTCAAGACACTGTACACTGTGTACATCAGGCCCATACTGGAGTATGCAGCATCAGTTTGGAACCCACACCTGGTCAAGCACGTCAAGAAATTAGAGAAAGTACAAAGGCTAGTTCCAGAGCTCAGGGGAATGACCTATGAAGAAAGGTTGAGGGAAATCGGACTGACGACACTGGTAGACAGGAGGGTCAGGGAAAACATGATAACAACATACAAAATAATGCGTGGAATAGACAAGGTGGACAGAGACAGGATGTTCCAGAGAGGAAACACAGAAACAAGGGGTCACAATTGAAAGCTGAAGACTCAGACGAGTCACATGGATGTTAGGAAGTACAGTGGTCCCTTGTTTATCATAATTAATCCATTCCTGGAAGTGCTACTATTATCAAAATCTACAATTTTCGAATCAATTTTCCCCATAAGAAATAATGTAAATACAATTAATCCATTCCTGACACCCAGAAGTACTAAAACAAAAAATTTTTTTACATGAAATATGGATGTAGTACATAAACAATACAATGGGACATGATGAATGAAACATTAACAGCATAACACTTACCTTTATTGGCGATTCTTCTTAGTGTATGGGAGACTGGAGGAGGAGAGAGATTGGATTATTTACAGTTTGGAAGGGGAATCCCCTTCCATCAACACCTCAGGTACCAATTGCTTTTCTGGGATTACTTCTCTTCTCTGTTTCTTAATGCCACTAGGACCACCTTGAGAGTCACTGGAGTCCTGTCTCGCAAAATAACTGTCCAGAGAGCTCTGTTTCTGGCGTCTCTTTAACACTTCCCTAAAATGGCCCAAGACTTTGTCACTGTACATGTTGCCAACATGGCTTGCAAGAGCCTTGTCAGGGTGATGTTTCTCCATAAATCTTTCCATCTTACCCCACATTTCAAAAATCTCCTTAATTTCTGTAGAAGGCACCTTCTTCCATCTCTCTTCCTCCTCCTCTGCAGCAAGATTCTGAGCTGTGATCTGTTGCTCTTCCTGCTGAAGCTCTTGCAGCTCCTCAGTGGTGAGCTCTTCGTTGTGGTCTTCCACCAACTCTTCCACATCCTCCAAACTCACATCCAACCCCATGGAATTCCCCAGTGTCACAGTAGATTTAACAACAGACATAGGCTCATCAGGGTCAGGCCCAAACCCTTCAAAATCCCTCTTGTCGACACAATCTGGCCACAATTTTCTCCAAGTAGAGTTCAAAGTTCTGGTAGTCACTCCCTCCCAAGCCATACCTATAAGGGTTATGCTATGGAAGATGCTGAAGTGTTCTGTCTAAAAATCTCTTAGAGTCAAGTGAGTGTCTGAGGTCACATTCAAGCACCTTTGAAACATTGCTATAGTGTAGAGTTTTTTAAAGCTTGCAATGACCTGCTGGTCCGTGGGCTGGAGGAGAGGAGTGGTATTCGGGGGCAAGAACCTTACTGTGATGAACCCAAACTCCTCGAAAATTAGGTCATCCAAGTTTGGAGGATGAGCAGGTGCATTGTCCATTACTAGGAGGCACTTGAGATCCAATTTCTTTTCCAGGAGGTAATTCTTCACACTAGGGCCAAACACTTCATTGAACCACTCGACGAAAATTTCCCTCGTGACTCATGCCTTACTATTAGATTTCCAAAACACACACAATTTACTCTTCATAACATTGTTTTTCCTGAACACTCTGGGATTTTCAGAATGGTACACTAATAACGGCTTCACTTTGAAATCCCCACTAGCATTAGCACAGAACATGAGCGTCAGCCCGTCTTTCATAGGCTTGTGTCCTGGCATTGCCTTTTCCTCCTGTGTAATGTAGGTCCTCTTTGGTATTTTCTTCCAAAAGAGGCCTGTTTCGTCACAATTGAACACTTGTTCAGGTTTCAGTCCTTCAGCCTCTATGTACTCCTTGAATTCATGCACATATTTTTCAGCCGCTTTCTGGTCCGAACTAGCAGCCTCACCATGCCTTACCACACTGTGTATGCAACTACGGTTCTTAGATCCCTCAAACCAACCTTTGCTGGCCTTAAATTCACTCACATCACCACTAGTTGCAGACCATTTCTTTACCAGATCGTCGTGCAACTGCCTAGCCTTTTCACAAATAATCTACGTCATAATACTGTACTATCTCCTGCTAATTGTTTCTCGTTTATCCACACCAATAATAACTTCTCAGCCTCTTCGAGTACTGGTGATCTCATTTTTGTCAGCATATTTACCCCCTTTGCAACAACAGCGTCCTTGATTTCATTTTTCTTGGCCACGATTGAACATATGGTTGTATAGGGTTTGTTATACATCCTGGCCAGTTCGGCCGCACTTAAGCCACTTTCATATTGTTCAATGATGTTTTTCTTAATTTTTTTTTATTAACACACTGGCTGATTCCCACCAAGGCAGGGTGGCCCGAAAAAGAAAAACTTTCACCATCATTCACTCCATCACTGTCTTGCCAGAAGGGTGCTTTACACTACAGTTTTTAAACTGCAACATTAACACTCCTCCTTCAGAGTGCAGGCACTGTACTTCCCATCTCCAGGACTCAAATTCGGCCTGCCGGTTTCCCTGAATCCCTTCATAAATGTTACTTTGCTCACACTCCAACAGCACGTCAAGTATTAAAAACCATTTGTCTCCATTCACTCCTATCAAACACGCTCATGCATGCCCGCTGGAAGTCCAAGCCCCTCGCACACAAAACCTCCTTTACCCCCTCCCTCCAACCTTTCCTAGGCCGACCCCTACCCCGCCTTCCTTCCTCTACAGATTGATACACTCTTGAAGTCATTCTGTTTCGCTCCATTCTCTCTACATGTCCGAACCACCTCAACAACCCTTCCTCAGCCCTCTGGACAACAGTTTTGGTAATCCCGCACCTCCTTCTAACTTCCAAACTACGAATTCTCTGCATTATATTCACACCACACATTGCCCTCAGACATGACATCTCCACTGCCTCTAGCCTTCTCCTCACTGCAACATTCATCACCCATGCTTCACACCCATATAAGAGCGTTGGTAAAACTATACTCTCATACATTCCCCTCTTTGCCTCCAAAGACAAAGTTCTTTGTCTCCACAGACTCCTAAGTGCACCGCTCACCCTTTTCCCCTCATCAGTTCTATGATTTACCTCATTTTTCATAGACCCATCCGCTGACACGTCCACTCCCAAATATCTGAATACATTCACCTCCTCCATACTCTCTCCCTCCAATCTGATATCCAATCTTTCATCACCTAATCTTTTTGTTATCCTCATAACCTTACTCTTTCCTGTATTCACTTTTAATTTTCTTCTTTTGCATGCCCTACCAAATTCATCCACCAACCTCTGCAACTTCTTTTAAATTCAATCATATTTATCACCTTCTTTACCAAAGGCTTGGCACTAGGAGCTTTCTTTGGAGCCATGGTAGCTTATTTAGTACTTGCAAGCACTAAAATGAATGGAATATTATGAAATATTTCGTAGGAGCACGTGAGGGGACCATCGCTCACTGGTAAACAATGCCACACTGTCTGGGAAGGGAGGTCGTCCCGGCTCACAGCGTGCGCACACATCCTGGACGAACTACTATTCGCGAGTCAATCTACGATTAGCGAGCCCATATTTATATGAAAATATAGCTACGATTTCCGAAAAATACGATTCTCGAGCCCTACGATTATCGAGGGACCACTGTACTTCTTCAGTCACAGAGTCGTCAGGAAGTGGAATAGCCTAGCAAGTGATGTAGTGGAGGCAGGAACCATACATGGGAGGGGGAGGGAGGGCGGGTGGGAGGGCAGGAGGGTGGGCGGGTGGGGTGGGAGGGCGGGCGGGAGGGTGGGCGGGAGGGAGGGCGGGCAGGCAGGAAGGCGGGCGGGAGGGAGGATGGGTGGGCGGGCGGGCCAGGACCTGAGTCTCGACCCCTGCAACCACAGTTAGGTGAGTAGTATTACTTCTGCTTCATCATCACTGTTATCTCTGCTTCATCATCACATTATCTCTGCTTCATCATCCTAGACGGTTCAACAGGTTTCCAGTGCCTGTTAAGAGTCAGGAATCTGTTCATACTCTCAAATCTATGTTGAAAGTGCATTTGTTTTTTAGAGGTTATAATCTTGGTGATCAGACTGTCACTCATGGATCACGGTCCAAGTGAAGGCAAAAAATATTTATAAGTTGTGGTTAGCAGATAATCTGCTGGAATGCTTCACTAATAAACATTTAGTATGATGAACTCAAATTAAGTTGTAATGTACAACTCTAGATGAATAAACAGAAGGGTGGGCGAAGGGCTCAAACCAAGGTCCTTAAATTGACAGTCCAATGCTTTACCATATATGCCAACCCAGGCCTCTAATCCTAAGGATTTGGAGGTAATATTTACTGTATTACATCCTGTCAGAGGCACCATTTGATGCCTCTGAATCTTATTAGAGGTCTAGGTTAGCCTAGACGGTGGAGCGTCAGAATCAATTTATGGACTGTGGTTTGAGCCCTTCATCTACCCTTCTGTTTGTTCATTTAGTATGATACTTAGAAACCCATACTTCTCTCTCCCCTTATCAATTGTTTTCATAAGGGCTGTTCTACCATCAATCACTTAATCTGCTTGGATGTGTACATTTGCAATGCCTTCACTAATAATCACTTGGTTAAAGCAGGATTTTTTGGTCTTGTAAAAGCTTATGACTATACCTGGCATTACAACACCTTAGCCTAAGCTTATTTTTTTCAAACAAACAAACAAACAGACTTTATTTCTATAACATGGAGTATAGTACATTATACTGTTAGTGATCGACATAAACTATAGAAAGCCCTTATTATGCAAGGCATTTCGGGCAGCATTTGAGGCAATTTCTTATTGGAGAAACGCTTCCATATCTGGGGTAAATAATAAATAGCTCTTCATTTGGTTTTGTCCAGGTTGAAAGTGTACCTCAAGGCTGTTCTTAGCACTATTCTCTTCCTGCTCACCATTAATAATCTTTCTATGGAAGGGATTTTTAACCAGGGGTGTCCATATCCCTTAGGGTATGGGACCCAAATAACCTAGGTATGGGACTCCATCTCTGGACAATTTAAAAAAAAGTTTTTGTTTGATTAGAATAAACTATCACCAGTTCTGTTCCTAGCTATCTATATGTAAAATAAAACCAAGCTGTTGACATCTTTTGAAGTCACACCTGTACCTAATAGAACTGGTGATGATTATGATTATTTTGACAGTTTGGTGAAGGAGAGGTATGGGGGACATACTGGGAAATCCATTGGGGTCTGTAATTGTAAAAGGGTTAAGTACCCCTGCTGTTTGGTGACAATTTTGCTATAGCTTGTGCAGATGCTGACTGGTAGTAGCCTCTCTCCGGTTTGCTATTGATTTTGCTTTCAAATGGGCCACTACTCATGGATTTAAATTTTCTTTTGACAAAAAACATCAGATAACTTTCTCTCATAGGTTTCTTTACCTGTACAGCTTCCGTATCCCTGAACAGCGTACTGTTAAATTTTTCTGTCTTCTGTCGGCTTACTGAATGTTTTGCTAACCAGTGGCTTATAAGTACAATACAGGGACAAAAACAGAAGACTGAAGAAGTTGAATATAAGGTAGTCAGTCCCTCAGCCTAGGAGCAGGTGTTCAGTACTGTAGTCTTGATGAATCTGAAGCACAGGAAGACATGGGCTTATTTATATACTGGAGTCAGATGAGTTACAGCAGATGAAGGCATCATCACTGGTACTGTACATTGTATACCCCTGTGGAAGTAGGCTGGCTCAACTTTTGGGCATGACCTACTTTCCCACTTTCACTGGGAAATCCCATATACCAGTTACAATGCCTTCATCTACTGTAGCTCATCTCATTTGGCTACAGTGTCCCATGGCCTGGTATGGTGTCCCATGGCCTGGTAGGCAACGCTCTCGCCCCACACACAGACTGTCTGTGGTTTAGTCCCCGGCAAGGGTGGAAATATTGGGTGTGATTCCTTATGCTTACTGTCTCCGATCACCTGGCAAGTAAGTAGGTACCTGGGTGTTAGTCAGTCTTGTCCTGGGGGACAAGAATGAGGACCCCAGTGGAAATAAGACAGATAGTCCCTTGATGATGCACTGCCTTTCTTGGTTTATCCTAGGTGGCTACCCCTCCAGGGTTGATAATCCAAACAAAATCTCCTAAACTCCAACTTCCTCCTCCTGTTCTTCAGATTCACTCTACAGTTCTAAACACCTGCTTCTAGGCTAAGGGACTGATCACCTCATCTTCAGTCTCTTTAGTCTACTGTTTTTGTCTCTGAATTGTATTGATAAAACCACTGGTTGGTGAAACATCTACATAATAAAGATACCCAGTTGTTGCACATATGTCTAACACTTCAACTTCTTAAGTGTAGCTAAGAGAGCACCTTAGATTTGAAGATAAAAAATGAAAATGGGTGGTAAATACAGGTGTGGTATGCTTGTCTTGCAGGAGCGCCGAGGCCACCTTAGTCGACTACTGGGCGTTCACGGGACATTGCGGAAGTTGGAGTTTCTATTTCATCTCCCACAGAAGATAGATGAATGTATCGCTGAGAAGAACTTCACAGAGGTCAGTCATACCGCCCAGCTATGTGGTGGCAGTGTTACACTGTGTGTTCATTTTAAAATGCAATTTGTGTAAGTACAGTGGAACCTCTACTTACGAGTTTAATCCATTCCATGACCTTGCTCGCAACTGGTTTTGCTCATTTGCAGTCAATTTTCCTCATTTAGATTAATTGAAATGGAATTAATTCTTTCCAGTGGAATTCCGGGCACGAGAAAATACTTTAATAATTTCCCTAATATCAACTCTACAGCTTGTATTTATCTATCACAATTCATGTAATATGAGGTTCCTAAAACTGTATTCCCTGGAACGCAGGCAGGAGAGATACATGATTATATACACCTGGAAAATCCTAGAGGGACTAGTACCGAACTTGCACACGAAAATCACTCACTACGAAAGCAAAAGACTTGGCAGACGATGCAACATCCCCCCAATGAAAAGCAGGGGTGTCACTAGCACGTTAAGAGACCATACAATAAGTGTCAGGGGCCCGAGACTGTTCAACTGCCTCCCAGCATACATAAGGGGGATTACCAACAGACCCCTGGCTGTCTTCAAGCTGGCACTGGACAAGCACCTAAAGTCGGTTCCTGACCAGCCGGGCTGTGGCTCGTACGTTGGTTTGCGTGCAGCCAGCAGCAACAGCCTGGTTGATCAGGCTCTGATCCACCAGGAGGCCTGGTCACAGACCGGGCCGCGGGGGCATTGACCCCCGGAACTCTCTCCAGGTAAACTCCAGGTAATAAACAATATTAATAACATAGATACATGATATATACTCTAGAATGAATAAAACACATGTCATTAGGTATGTGGCTAGTGGTGGTGACAGCAGCCATTGTTGTTGGTGTTATAGGTCCAGCACAGTGGCCATTCCTGCTCCTGGCTACATGTGTAGAGAACCTAGGATAACCCAAAAAAGTCAGACAGAGTGACTTATAAGTGCTACACTCTTAATGCTTCACTTAACCCGTAAACAGTCCAAGCAGATCTATGTTCACATTCGTAGTGCTCCAAAAGTAAATTACATTTTTTTAACATATTTTCAAATATGACAAAAAAAAAAAAAACGTAGATCAAAGTTTTTTTACACGTTTTCAAATGTAAAAAAAAAAAAAAAGATTACTTTTTTTACATACTTTCAAATGTCGAAAAAACGTATATATACATTTGGACCATTTACGGGTTAATTGCTGCACTCTTAATGCTACACTTTGCTACTGCTGCTTCATGTTGTCTGCCACTGCTGCTTCATGTTGTCTGCCACTGCTGCTTCATGTTGTCTGCCACTGCTGCTTCATGTTGTCTGCCACTGCTGCTTCATGTTGTCTGCCACTGCTGCTTCATGTTGTCTGCCACTGCTGCTTCATATTGTCTGCCACTGCTGCTTCATGTTGTCTGCCACTGCTGCTTCATGTTGTCTGCCACTGCTGCTTCATGTTGTCTGCCACTGCTGCTTCATATTGTCTGCCACTGCTGCTTCATGTTGTCTGCCACTGCTGCTTCATGTTGTTTGCCACTGCTGCTTCATGTTGTCTGCCACTGCTACTTCATGTTGTCTGCCACTGCTGCTTCATGTTGTTTGCCACTGCTGCTTCATGTTGTCTGCCACTGCTGCTTCATGTTGTCTGCCACTGCTCCTTCATGTTGTTTGCCATTGCTGCTTCATGTTGTCTGCCACTGCTGCTTCATATTGTCTGCCACTGCTGCTTCATGTTGTCTGCCACTGCTGCTTCATGTTGTCTGCCACTGCTGCTTCATGTTGTCTGCCACTGCTGCTTCATATTGTCTGCCACTGCTGCTTCATGTTGTTTGCCACTGCTGCTTCATATTGTCTGCCACTGCTGCTTCATGTTGTCTGCCACTGCTGCTTCATGTTGTCTGCCATTGCTCCTTCATGTTGTCTGCCACTGCTGCTTCATGTTGTCTGCCACTGCTGCTTCATATTGTCTGCCATTGCTGCTTCATGTTGTCTGCCACTGCTGCTTCATATTGTCTGCCATTGCTGCTTCATGTTGTCTGCCACTGCTGCTTCATATTGTCTGCCATTGCTGCTTCATATTGTCTGCCATTGCTGCTTCATGTTGTCTGCCACTGCTGCTTCATATTGTCTGCCATTGCTGCTTCATGTTGTCTGCCATTGCTGCTTCATATTGTCTGCCACTGCTGCTTCATGTTGTCTGCCACTGCTGCTTCATATTGTCTGCCATTGCTGCTTCATGTTGTCTGCCACTGCTGCTTCATATTGTCTGCCATTGCTGCTTCATATTGTCTGCCACTGCTGCTTCATATTGTCTGCCACTGCTGCTTCATATTGTCTGCCATTGCTGCTTCATATTGTCTGCCACTGCTGCTTCATGTTGTCTGCCACTGCTGCTTCATGTTGTCTGCCACTGCTGCTTCATGTTGTCTGCCATTGCTGCTTCATATTGTCTGCCACTGCTGCTTCATATTGTCTGCCATTGCTGCTTCATGTTGTCTGCCACTGCTGCTTCATATTGTCTGCCACTGCTGCTTCATGTTGTCTGCCACTGCTGCTTCATGTTGTCTGCCACTGCTGCTTCATGTTGTCTGCCACTGCTGCTTCATATTGTCTGCCACTGCTGCTTCATGTTGTCTGCCACTGCTGCTTCATGTTGTCTGCCACTGCTGCTTCATGTTGTCTGCCACTGCTGCTTCATGTTGTCTGCCACTGCTGCTTCATGTTGTTTGCCACTGCTGCTTCATGTTGTCTGCCACTGCTGCTTCATGTTGTCTGCCACTGCTGCTTCATGTTGTCTGCCACTGCTGCTTCATGTTGTCTGCCACTGCTGCTTCATGTTGTCTGCCACTGCTGCTTCATGTTGTCTGCCACTGCTGCTTCATGTTGTCTGCCACTGTTGCTTCATGTTGTCTGCCACTGCTGCTTCATGTTGTCTGCCACTGCTGCTTCATGTTGTCTGCCACTGCTACCTCATGATGTCTACCACTGCTACCTCATGATGTCTACCACTGATGTTGCCAAAGAATTGAACATTTCTGCTATTTTGAGCTCAATTTCAAGGTACTTTTCATCATGAAACCAATTAACCTGTAAACGGTCCAAGCAGATCTACTTTCATGCACATAGTGCTCCAAAAGTAGATCTAAGTTTTTTTTACATATTTTCAAATATATATATATAAAAAAAAAGTAGATCAAAGTTTTTTACACGTTTTCAAATGTAAAAAAAAAAAAGATCTACTTTTTTTACATACTTTCAAATGTTGAAAAACATATAAACCTACCATCCGACTTACGACAAAGGTTCGGTTCCGAGAATCTGGTCGTAAGTCGAAATGGTCGTAAGTCGAGGTTTACTTCTGAATATCAACAAAACATTTTTGTAATGACTTTATTTTATTGTTTTATTTTCGTATTTCATGTTTTACTTTACATTTTATGTTGTTAGTACTGTATTTTATATTGTAAGGTTTAGGATAAACACTGTGTACAACACAAATAGTTGTTTATTTCCCAGAAATTTGGCATAAAAAACATGGTCGTAAGTCGAGTGGTCGTAAGTCGAGCAGGTCGCAAGTCGGATGGTAGGTGTATATACGTTTGGACCATTTACGGGTTAAAATCATATTTATTTTTGTAGTAGATCTTCCATTCTATCACATGAGATCAAATAAAACGAGAATACAACCATAAAAACCTTATGAAAATATACCGCTAAGGGGAGGCTAATGACTGAGAAGTGAACTCCATTATTTATGGTCCGATTTCTTTCATTTTTAGTGTACGTTAAGAAGCATCTTTTCATCATACATTGCCCAAGTTTCACTAAGATAGTCCAACAAACAACTGAGATCCAATTCCCTAGATCAAGAGCAAGAGCCCCCTCACCAGTATCAATTAACCTCCTTTGAGGCCCGCTCGCATCTGGAAATTTTGCTCGCCTCTGGAAGCAAAAAATCGACTGAGCAACTGCTCGTATCTGGAAAAACTCGCACGTGGATGCACTGGTAAGTAGAGGTTCCACTGTATGTATTATTCATTCAAATTTAGATTTATTTTATTTTAACTATAATTTTTTAAACTATAATATTTTTATTTCAAGTTTAATATTCATAATAAGATTTATTCTAGGGTGTTCGAAGCTATGTTGAGACTGCTGAAGTTCTTCATCGGTACCGCCACATGCCATCCTTTAATGCCATCCATGACGACTGTGAAGCTGCCGTTGGTCGTTTAAATTTGGCTCTCAAGGAGCAGCTTGCCCTTAAGGAGGTAGATTAGATCTGTTAAAAAATTTTATTTTCTAAAATCAGATATTTTTATTTATACTGTGCTATATAATGAATAAAACAAGATGTACTGTGTTTTATACTTGAAGGTATACCATTGTTTTTCTTCTGGGTTTTTCCATTGTTTTTCGTCTGGGTTTTTCCATTGTTCTCATCCTTGCTTAAATCCATTACTTTTAAGATGTATTCATTGTACTTATTCAGTCCATCCTCCTGAGGAAACAAAAGTTTTTAAAAGATTAGTCAGTGAAGATAAGGTTGGTCTTGTATGTTTGCTGTTATCAAGTGTCTTTTCCGTGTGTATCCAGCTGTTGTTACATTAAAATAACTTGCTTTATGTCTCGGTTTGTTATTATAAAATTGGTTAATTTTGGTTTATCTAAATAAACCTTACTTATGGTATTTCAACCTCTCCTAACCCAATCAGATTTAAGCTACACAGAGAAGTCTTTTAAGATGTGGAACATTTGACAACCATTGGCTTGCTCAGTCAGACAGTATTCCTTTATTCTCATTTTCTTAATAATTTTTAAATGCACATTATTGTTAGGTTGCTTAATCATTTCTATAGCTTGGTATATTTTTGTCATTAATTGACTTAATTTTTTGAAAACATCAATCTTCACTCCTGCTTCATATATGCATATAGTATATCGTCTCTTCACTTAAAAACAGAGTTCTGTTCCTAAGACCACATCGTTAAATGAATTTGTTGCTAAGTGAGGAGCATACTATAATGGTAGTAAGTTTGTGTCAACCATCTATGATATTGTTTTAATGTCACCTTTGAACCATTTATAACATTTCTGGTATATTTTTAAATGTTTATACAGTAGTGTACTGTATATTGAAATAAACAGAATAGAGGCAATCAGCTCTAATATACATTATTTAGGCATGAATAATGGTCAGAGAGCCCGTCGTAAGTTTGAGGTGTCGGTAAACGAGTACGTCGCTAAGTGAGTGATATTGTACTGTTATTTTTATTATTCTCTTTTTTTACTTCATGTAATTCCTTCTCTCTGTTTATATTCAGTGTAGAGGAATTTAATAATAAAAGGTTTGTATGACAGGGAAGTGCCCGTCATCTGACTGAATGTGTTGATCTGCTGTTGCAACTGGGCGAGCCTGCCGAGGGTCTTTGTGATGACTTCTTGGCCCACGCACGCACCAAGCTGGAGGATGACCTCACCAACCTCACCAGGCTGGCAGAAGCTGCTGTTGAATCAGGGGAGGATGAAGCACCTCATCAAGAAACTGAAGAGGAAACTGCTGCAGGAGAACATGTCAGAGAAGTATCTTCACAGGAGGAGATGCGAGACATGACCAAATGTGCTGCAACAACTATGGTGAGTAATATTATATGGTGTCAGCAGAATTTGTGCTGAATTATGAATTATATTGATTACTTATAATGGTATACCCTGCATGATGGGGGGTATCTTGATGCTGGTTAAGGGCTTTTGATCCAAGGAGTGGGATCAAACCTGATTACCTTTCATTTCCCAGGTGTTGTATGGCTTAAGGGTATATTGCTTTCCCATTAATATGATAATTGCTGTATAATGGTACAGTGTTAAAATTTTCAGAAATTTAATGTACAGGGTATGAAATGGTGAAGATTCCTATATAATATTTAGTGATAAAGCTTTCAAGACTATCAAGTACTGGTTGATGTATGGGTATTAATGTCACTAGATGTTTCTAAACAAAAGCAGGACTCCTTCAGCAATTAAGAAAATATGTTCTGAAGAGTTTGAATGCCCTTTTTTTATGCATTTATGATTTATTAAACTTGTTGCAGGCAGCTCAAGCTTCCTTATGATGCCTGCTGACAGGCAGCATAAGGCAGAGTTCAGTACTGTATATCAAAAGTGAATTTTAGAAATGGTGAGATTTGGGAATCATTTGATAATAGAGTGTATTATTATTTTGTACCAGGACATCCTGGAGTTTGTGGACGAGTGTCATGAGAGCTTTGTAGGGAACCTCTGGTTGGTCATCTCCTCATACAAGGAAATGTTTCTCAGAAGCCCAGGAGGAGGAGGAGGAGGAGGAGGAAGGTGAGCTCCCTTTATGGCTGAGTGTGGCTTGACGCAGTCTACTTCTCCACTGTATACGTCACATTTCCACGAAAAGTTACTCATATCACTTATTTTTATTCAGTCAAGTATTTAGTAAGAGGAAATACAGTAAATTAATTCACCTTGTTGACCTGTACCTCTGTGTAATACTGTACTGTATGTACTGTACTTGACATGGATGCTCATATTGTTAAATATTTAGTGTAAGATATTAGGTAGCTATTTGTAATGTTTATATTATTCTTGCTTCTGATTCAGTGGAGCTTCCAGTGTTGCACTGGATAAGCTTCGGGTGTTTGTGGCAGGGTTGGTGGAGCAGTACGTTGCTGTGGTGGGAGTGCGTGTGGCTGCTGAGCCTGATACTGCACATTATGCTCCCCTCACCACTGCTCTTGATAAATTTCACAGACGTCTACATGCTATTACACAACTTCTGCCGAACACAAACTTCGGAGAGTGAGTACTTTGAACTTACTTTCATGATTAATTTATCTGTTATGGAAGCTGTAATTGCTTTCTAAGTGTTGGAGTGTTTGATCTGACTTCTTTGTATGTGCAGTGTAATTTTTGCTACCATTGCTCTGCTTACCAGGCAGTTCATTTTGTTGTGAATATTTATGGTTAGATTTAGGTAGTAGGTTGGTAGCCAGCAACTACCCAGAGAGGTACTACCATCTTGTGGTAGTAGTTTGGTGGCCAGCAACTACCTAGGGAGGTACTACATCTTGTAGTAGTAGTTTGGTGGCCAGCAACTACCCAGGGAAGGTACTAACATCTTGTAGTAGTAGTTTGGTGGCCAGCAACTACCCAGGGAGGTACTACCATCTTGTGGTAGTAGTTTGGTGGCCAGCAACTACCCAGGGAGGTACTACCATCTTGTAGTAGTAGTTTGGTGGCCAGCAACTACCCAGGGAGGTACTACCATCTTGTGGTAGTAGTTTGGTGGCCAGCAACTACCCAGAGAGGTACTACCATCTTGTGGTAGTAGTTTTGTGGCCAGCAACTACCCAGGGAGGTACTACCATCTTGTAGTAGTAGTTTGGTGGCCAGCAACTACCCAGGGAGGTACTACCATCTTGTGGTAGTAGTTTGGTGGCCAGCAACTACCCAGAGAGGTACTACCATCTTGCGGTAGTAGTTTGGTGGCCAGCAAACTACCCAGGGAAGTACTACCATCTTGTGGTAGTAGTTTGGTGGCCAGCAACTACCCAGAGAGGTTACTACCATTGTGGTAGTAGTTTGTGGCCGCAACTACCCAGGGAGGTACTACCATCTTGTAGTAGTAGTAGTTTGGTGGCCAGCAACTACCCAGAGAGGTACTACCATCTTGTAGTAGTAGTTTGGTGGCCAGCAACTACCAGAGAGGTACTACCATCTTGTGGTAGTAGTTTGGTGGCCAGCAACAACCCAGGGAGGTACTACCTCTTGTAGTAGTAGTTTGGTGGCCAGCAACTACCCAGGGAGGTACTACCATCTTGTGGTAGTAGTTTGGTGGCCAGCAACTACCAGGGAGGTACTACCATCTTGTAGTAGTAGTAGTTTGGTGGCCATGCAACTACCAGGGAGGTACTACCATCTTGTAGTAGTAGTAGTAGTTTGGTGGCCAGCAACTACCCAGGGAGGTACTACCATCTTGTGGTAGTAGTTTGGTGGCCAGCAACTACCCAGGGAGGTACTACCATCTTGTAGTAGTAGTAGTTTGGTGGCCAGCAACTACCCAGGGAGGTACTACCATCTTGTGGTAGTAGTTTGGTGGCCAGCAACTACCCAGAGAGGTACTACCATCTTGTGGTAGTAGTTTGGTGGCCAGCAACTACCCAGAGAGGTACTACCATCTTGTGGTAGTAGTTTGGTGTCCAGCAACTACCCAGGGAGGTACTACCATCTTGTGGTAGTAGTTTGGTGGCCAGCAACTACCCAGGGAGGTACTACCATCTTGTGGTAGTAGTTTGATGGCCAGCAACTACCCAGGGAGGTACTACCATCTTGTGGTAGTAGTTTGGTGGCCAGCAATACCCAGGGAGGTACTAACATCTTGTGGTAGTAGTTTGGTGGCCAGCAACTACCCAGGGAGGTTTACTACCATCTTGTAGTAGTAGTTTGGTGGCCAGCAACTACCCAGGGAGGTACTACCATCTGTGGTAGTAGTTTGGTGGCCAGCAACTACCAGGAGGTACTACCATCTTGTGGTAGTAGTTTGGTGGCCAGCAACTACCCAGGGAGGTACTACCATCTTGTGGTAGTAGTTTGGTGGCCAGCAACTACCCAGAGAGGTACTACCATCTTGTGGTAGTAGTTTGGTGGCCAGCAACTACCCAGGGAGGTACTACCATCTTGTAGTAGTAGTTTGGTGGCCAGCAACTACCCAGGGAGGTACTACCATCTTGTGGTAGTAGTTTGGTGGCCAGCAACTACCCAGGGAGGTACTACCATCTTGTGGTAGTAGTTTGGTGGCCAGCAACTACCCAGGGAGGTACTACCATCTTGTAGTAGTAGTAGTTTGGTGGCCAGCAACTACCCAGGGAGGTACTACCATCTTGTAGTAGTAGTAGTTTGGTGGCCAGCAACTACCCAGGGAGGTACTACCATCTTGTAGTAGTAGTAGTTTGGTGGCCAGCAACTACCCAGGGAGGTACTACCATCTTGTAGTAGTAGTTTGGTGGCCAGCAACTACCCAGGGAGGTACTACCATCTTGTGGTAGTAGTTTGGTGGCCAGCAACTACCCAGGGAGGTACTACCATCTTGTAGTAGTAGTAGTTTGGTGGCCAGCAACTACCCAGGGAGGTACTACCTCTTGTAGTAGTAGTAGTTTGGTGGCCAGCAACTACCCAGGGAGGTACTACCATCTTGTAGTAGTAGTAGTTTGGTGGCCAGCAACTACCCAGGGAGGTACTACCATCTTGTAGTAGTAGTAGTTTGGGGCCAGCAACTACCCAGGGAGGTACTACCATCTTGTAGTAGTAGTAGTTTGGTGGCCAGCAACTACCCAGGGAGGTACTACCATCTTGTAGTAGTAGTAGTTTGGTGGCCAGCAACTACCCAGGGAGGTACTACCATCTTGTAGTAGTAGTAGTTTGGTGGCCAGCAACTACCCAGAGAGGTACTACCATCCTACTAAGTGAGTGTGAAATAGAAATCTGTAATTGCTTTACCTGATGGTAAAATTGCTGGTGTCTTTTTTCTTTCTCATAAACACATAAGATAAGAGGTATATGTTGCTACTTCTGCTTACACTTAGGTCACACTAAAAGTACATGTACACTCATGTATATTTACACATCCATCTGGGTTGAAAGTGAACATAGATAAAGAGTAAGGTGATGAGGGTATCAAATGATTTAGATGAGGAAAAATTGGATATCACATTGGAGGGAGGAAGTATGGAAGAAGTGAATGTTTTCAGATATTTGGGAGTTGACTTGTCAGTGGATGGATTTATGAAGGATGAGGTTAACCATAGAATTGATGAAGGAAAAAAAGTGAGTGATGCATTGAGGTATCTGTGGAGACAACATTATCCATGGAGGCAAAGAAGGAAATGTACGAGAGTATAGTGGTACCAACACTCTTATATGGATGTGAAGAAGCATGGGTTGTACATGCTGCAATGAGGAGGCGGCTGGAGGCAGTGGAGATGTCGTGTCTTAGGGCAATGTGTGATGTAAATATTATGCAGAGAATTTGTAGTGGGGAAATTAGGAGGTGGTATGGAGCTACTAAAAGTATTAGCCAGAGGGCTGAAGAGGGGCTGTTGAGGTGGTTTGGTCATTTAAAAAGAATGGAACACAGTAAAATGTCTTGGAGAGAGTATAAATCTGTTGGAGAAGGAAGGCGGGGTAGAGGTCGTCGTCCCCAAAAAGGTTGGAAGGAATGGGGTAAAGGAGGTTTTGTGGGTGAGGGGTTTGGACTTCCAGCAAGCATGTGTGAGCATGTTAGATAGGAGTGAATGGAGATGAATGGTTTTTGGGACCTGATGAGCTGTTGGAGTGTGAGCAGGGTAATATTTTGTGAAGGGATTCTGGGAAACCGGTTAGCCGGACTTGAGTCATGGAAATGGGAAGTACAATGCCTGCACTTTAAAGAAGGGTTTTAGGATATTAGCAGTTTGGAGGGATGTCTTACCTGTCATATCTGAGCTCCTCTGCAAAGACAGTGATTATGTATGGGTGGTGGTGAAAGTGCTGAATGATGATGAAAGGTTTTTCTTTCTTTTTTGGTTTTTCTTTTTTTTGGGTCACCCTGCCTTGGTGGGAAATGGTCGATGTGTTAAAAAAAAAAATCTGTGTTTTCTTCTGTTTTCTTAACCCTTTGAGGGTTTCGGCTGTACTAGTACGGCTTACGACCCAGGGTTTTTGACGTACTAGTACGCCTAAATTCTAGTGCCCTCAAATCTAGTGAGAGAAAGCTGGTAGGCCTACATATGAAAGAATGGGTCTATGTGGTCAGTGTGTGCAGTATAAAAAAAATCCTGCAGCACACAGTGAGTAATGAGAAAAAAAAAACTTTGACCGTGTTTTTGGAATAAAACAGCGACTTTGCACTGTATTTTCGTATGGTATTTATTGTTGTACTCTAGTATTCCTGGTCTCATTTTATAGAATGGAAGACATATTACAGAAATTGAGATGATTTTGACTGGTTTTACAATGAAAAGTACCTTGAAATTGAGCTCAAAGTAGCAGAAATGTTCAATTCTTACCAAAGTTCAAAAGTAAGCAAATCATGCCAAGCGTCCAATACACATCAACTGGTGAGTCTAATATTCTTTCACAAGTGCGCTGATATTATTTATACCATTTCTACACTAATGCAGCAGTCTGCATAACAGTAAATCTTCTATTATTTATAAGAATAAAAATTCAAAGTGGAAAGCAAAAGAAATATAAGAGGGGCCTGGGGATGTGGCTAACGAACAGAGGAAATGTTATTTTAGTGCCAGGAATGTTTTTCGTGTTTATTCTGGACCCTATTTGGAAATTGGCATCGTTTGAAATTTGTGTGAAATTGGTAAAATTGCTAAATTCTGACCACTGTGCTGGATAGTTGAAATCAGTAAATGGGTGGTTTCTTGTACTCATTCAATAGAAAAAAATGGAATTCTAGAGAAATAGTCATGATTTTTGTCGACTAGTACACTGGAATTGACCGAAAATAGAGCTCAAAGTGGGCAAAATCGCTGATGCGTAAACATCGTCGAGACCGCTAACTTCGCGAGAGCATAATCCCGTAAGTTTTCCATCAAATTTCATACTTTTGGTGTCATTATGATCGGGAAAAGATTCTCTATCTTTTCATAAGAAAAAATAATTTTTTTTTTTTAAATTTGGCCGACCCTGAGAACAAGTCTCGGAGAGGGCCTGTCGACCCTCAAAGGGTTAATAGTTCTTGATCATCTTTATTTTCTCTTATCTCCATAGGAAGTGGAAAAGAATTCTTCCATATTCCACATGTGTCATATGAGGTGACTAAGAGCCTTAAGCAAGGGGCTAGTATCCCTTTCTCCTGTATATATTACGAAGCTTAAAAGGAGAAACTTTTGTTTTTCCTTTTGGGCCACCCCGCCTCGGTGTGATACCCTCGGTTTGTTGACAGAAGATGATGATTTTGTAATCTTTTAATTTTTTATTTATTAAACTGCATGAACAATGTCATATATTATACATAACTCAGTACGTTTTTTCAGTGTAAGTGCACAATATAAATGACTGTATTAACTTTTTTAGTGCAGCTCTGAGTCTTGTGATTGAGGCTGGGATGGCACGATGCCAGTCGTCACTCTCTGCACTGAAGCATGGGTTAGCATCCAGTCTGGGGGACGTGCGTCATGCTCTGGCTGCCCCCCGACACTTGACGCAGGATGGCAACGAGTCGACGCACCGCCAGTTGAATGAACACCTCACACGTCTTGTTGCTGCCACTGCTGCTTCAATCAAGGAGCACGTCACCGTGTTGCAGGTTTGCTAGTAATTATACAGTTGTGGGATGCTCTCTGGCAGGTCTCTTGTAATTTTTTTTTAACAAGAGCTGTTTCCCACTGAGACAGGGTGACCCAATAAAAAAGAAACAAAATTTTCTACTTTTCACATTTTGTAATTTATACATACAAGAGAAACAGTTCTAATGTAAAATGGGTTATTTATAACTGAAATAATTCATCATTGTTATGCTAGATTATTGTACAGTACAGTGGTACCTTGAGTTTTGAACATCTCCCAACTTGAACAGTTTTTCTTTTTCAACAAGTCGACCATCTCCCACCGAGGCAGGGTGACCCAAAAAGAAAGGAAATCCCTAAAAAGAAAATACTTTCATCATCATTCAACACTTTCGCCTCACTCACACATAATCACTGTTTTTACAGAGGTGCCCTGAATACAACAGTTTAGAAGCATATACATATAAAGATACACAACATATCCCTCCAAACTGCCAATATCCCAAACCCCTCCTTTAGAGTGCAGGCATTGTACTTCCCATTTCCAGGACTCAAGTCCGGCTATATAAAAATAACCGGTTTTCCTGAATCCCTTCACTAAATATTACCCTGCTCACACTCCAACAGCTCGTCAGTTATGTAAGTGTATTTTTAAGGGGTCTGAAACAGACTAATCTGATTTACATTATTCCTTATGGGAACAAATTCGTTTGGTAACAGCACTGGAACAGCCTTCTGGAACGAATTAAGTTCGTAACTCGAAGTACCACTGTACTTACATCTTAGTAATTCATCCTCTGCTGTCAAATTCACTAGAAGATGTTATACACTGTAAATTCTTAAGTATCATTGCCTTCCCGGCTACATTTGTTTTACCACATGAGGGGGAGGGGAGAACTGTGAGTTAGCAGGGGAGAACCACATGAGGGGGAGGAGAAAACTATGAGTTACCACAGGAGGGAGAGGGAAGAACTATGAGTGTAAATGTTTTACCACAGGAGGGGAGGGAAGAACTTCAGGTGTTAATGTTTTGGTCCTTCAAATGAGGTAGGTGTCTTGATGTTGCTGAAGGGCTCTTGGTCCAGGGAATTTAGAGCTACTCTCTCCTTATCCTGAATATTATTGCCTCCCATCTACCCATTACCCAGATGCTGTATGGCTCATGTGGGTTTGGTGTTAATCCACAAATATAATAATAGTCACCCTGCCTCAGTGGGAGACGGCTGACTTGTTGAAAAAAAAAAAAAAAAAAAAAAATAATAATAATAATAATAATTAGTAGTAGGTTGGTAGACAGCAACCACCCAGGGAAGTACTACCGTCCTGCCAGATGACTGTGAAACAGAAACCTGTAACTGTTTTGCATGATGGTAGGATTGCTGTTTTCTTTTTCTGTCTCATAAACACGCTAGATAACAGGGATATCTTGCTACTCCAACTTACACTTTGGTCACACTTCACAGACACGCACATGCATATATATATACATACATCTAGGTTTTTCTCCTTTTTCTAAATAGCTCTTGTTCTTCTTTATTTCTTCTATTGTCCATGGGGAAGTGGAAAAGAATCTTTCCTCTGTAAGCCATGTGTGTCGTATGAGGCGACTAAAATGCCGGGAGCAATGGGCTAGTAACCCCTTCTCCTGTAGACATTTACTAAAAAAGAGAAGAAGAAAAACTTTATAAAACTGGGATGCTTAAATGTGCGTGGATGTAGTGCGGATGACAAGAAACAGATGATTGCTGATGTTATGAATGAAAAGAAGTTGGATGTCCTGGCCCTAAGCGAAACAAAGCTGAAGGGGGTAGGGGAGTTTCAGTGGGGGAAATAAATGGGATTAAATCTGGAGTATCTGAGAGAGTTAGAGCAAAGGAAGGGGTAGCAGTAATGTTGAATGATCAGTTATGGAAGGAGAAAAGAGAATATGAATGTGTAAATTCAAGAATTATGTGGATTAAAGTAAAGGTTGGATGCGAGAAGTGGGTCATAATAAGCGTGTATGCACCTGGAGAAGAGAGGAATGCAGAGGAGAGAGAGAGATTTTGGGAGATGTTAAGTGAATGTATAGGAGCCTTTGAACCAAGTGAGAGAGTAATTGTGGTAGGGGACCTGAATGCTAAAGTAGGAGAAACTTTTAGAGAGGGTGTGGTAGGTAAGTTTGGGGTGCCAGGTGTAAATGATAATGGGAGCCCTTTGATTGAACTTTGTATAGAAAGGGGTTTAGTTATAGGTAATACATATTTTAAGAAAAAGAGGATAAATAAGTATACAAGATATGATGTAGGGCGAAAGGACAGTAGTTTGTTGGATTATGTGTTGGTAGATAAAAGACTGTTGAGTAGACTTCAGGATGTACATATTTATAGAGGGGCCACAGATATATCAGATCACTTTCTAGTTGTAGCTACACTGAGAGTAAAAGGTAGATGGATACAAGGAGAATAGAAGTATCAGGGAAGAGAGAGGTGAAGGTTTATAAACTAAAAGAGGAGGCAGTTAGGGTAAGATATAAACAGCTATTGGAGGATAGATGGGCTAATGAGAGCATAGGCAATGGGGTCGAAGAGGTATGGGGGAGGTTTAAAAATGTAGTGTTAGAGTGTTCAGCAGAAGTTTGTGGTTACAGGAAAGTGGGTGCGGGAGGGAAGAGGAGCGATTGGTGGAATGATGATGTAAAGAGAGTAGTAAGGGAGAAAAAGTTAGCATATGAGAAGTTTTTACAAAGTAGAAGTGATGCAAGGAGGGAAGAGTATATGGAGAAAAAGAGAGAGGTTAAAGAGTGGTGAAGCAATGTAAAAAGAGAGCAAATGAGAGAGTGGGTGAGATGTTATCAACAAATTTTGTTGAAAATAAGAAAAAGTTTTGGAGTGAGATTAACAAGTTAAGAAAGCCTAGAGAACAAATGGATTTGTCAGTTAAAAATAGGAGAGGAGAGTTATTAAATGGAGAGTTAGAGGTATTGGGAAGATGGAGGGAATATTTTGAGGAATTGTTAAATGTTGATGAAGATAGGGAAGCTGTGATTTCGTGTATAGGACAAGGAGGAAAAACATCTTGTAGGAGTGAGGAAGAGCCAGTTGTGAGTGTGGGGGAAGTTCGTGAGGCAGTAGGTAGAATGAAAGGGGTAAGGCAGCCGGGATTGATGGGATAAAGATAGAAATGTTAAAAGCAGGTGGGATATAGTTTTGGAGTGGTTGGTGCAATTATTTAATAAATGTATGGAAGAGGGTAAGGTACCTAGGGATTGGCAGAGAGCATGCATAGTTCCTTTGTATAAAGGCAAAGGGGATAAAAGAGAGTGCAAAAATTATAGGGGGATAAGTCTGCTGAGTATACCTGGTAAAGTGTATGGTAGAGTTATTATTGAAAGAATTAAAAGTAAGACGGAAAATAGGATAGCAGAAGAACAAGGAGACTTTAGGAAAGGTAGGGGGTGTGTGGACCAGGTGTTTACAGTGAAACATATAAGTGAACAGTATTTAGATAAGGCTAAAGAGGTCTTTGTGGCATTTATGGATTTGGAAAAGGCGTATGACAGGGTGGATAGGGGGCAATGTGGCAGATGTTGCAAGTGTATGGTGTAGGAGGTAGGTTACTGAAAGCAGTGAAGAGTTTTTACGAGGATAGTGAGGCTCAAGTTAGAGTATGTAGGAAAGAGGGAAATTTTTTCCCAGTAAAAGTAGGCCTTAGACAAGGATGTGTGATGTCACCGTGGTTGTTTAATATATTTATAGATGGGGTTGTAAGAGAAGTAAATGCGAGGGTCTTGGCAAGAGGTGTGGAGTTAAAAGATAAAGAATCACACACAAAGTGGGAGTTGTCACAGCTGCTCTTTGCTGATGACACTGTGCTCTTGGGAGATTCTGAAGAGAAGTTGCAGAGATTTGGTGGATGAATTTGGTAGGGTGTGCAAAGAAGAAAATTAAAGGTGAATACAGGAAAGAGTAAGGTTATGAGGATAACATAAAGATTAGGTGATGAAAGATTGAATATCAGATTGGAGGGAGAGAGTATGGAGGAGGTGAATGTATTCAGATATTTGGGAGTGGACGTGTCAGGGGATGGGTCTATGAAAGATGAGGTGAATCATAGAATTGATGAGGGGAAAAGAGTGAGTGGTGCACTTAGGAGTCTGTGGGGACAAAGAACTTTGTCCTTGGAGGCAAAGAGGGGAATGTATGAGAGTATAGTTTTACCAACGCTCTTATATGGGTGTGAAGCATGGGTGATGAATGTTGCAGCGAGGAGAAGGCTGGAGGCAGTGGAGATGTCATGTCTGAGGGCAATGTGTGGTGTGAATATAATGCAGAGAATTCGTAGTTTGGAAGTTAGGAGGAGGTACGGATTACCAAAACTGTTGTCCAGAGGGCTGAGGAAGGGTTGTTGAGGTGGTTCGGACATGTAGAGAGAATGGAGCGAAACAGAATGACTTCAAGAGTGTATCAGTCTGTAGTGGAAGGAAGGCGGGGTAGGGGTCGGCCTAGGAAAGGTTGGAGAGAGGGGGTAAAGGAGGTTTTGTGTGCGAGGGCTTGGACTTCCAGCAGGCATGCGTGAGCGTGTTTGATAGGAGTGAATGGAGACAAATGGTTTTTAATACTTGACATGCTGTTGGAGTGTGAGCAAAGTAACATTTATGAAGGGGTTTCAGGGAAACCGGCAGGCCGGACTTGAGTCCTGGAGATGGGAAGTACAGTGCCTGCACTCTGAAGGAGGGGTGTTAATGTTGCAGTTTAAAAACTGTGGTGTAAAGCACCCTTCTGGCAAGACAGTGATGGAGTGAATGATGGTGAAAGTTTTTCTTTTTCGGGCCACCCTGCCTTGGTGGGAATCGGCCAGTGTGATAATAATAAATAATAATAATAATAATATAGGTAGTAGGTTGGTAGACAGCAACCACCCAGGGAGGTACTACCGTCCTGCCAAGTGAGTGTAAAACGAAAGCCTGTAATTGTTTTACATGATGGTGGGATTGCTGGGTTTTTTGGGCCCTGTCTCATAAATATGCAAGATTACAGGTACGTCTTGCTACTTCTACTTACACTTAGGTCACACTACACATACATGTACACGTTTATTTATACACACTCATCTGAGTTTTCTTTGATTTTATCTTAATAGTTCTTGGTCTTATTACTTTTCTTTTAAAATCCATGGAAGTGGAATAAGAATTTTTCCTCCGTAAGCCATGCGTGTTGTAAAAGTCAACTAAAATGCTGGGAACAATGGCTAGTAACCCCTTTTCCTGAAAAGATTACTAAAAAAAATAAAAAAGAAGAAAATTGTCAAAGGGGGAAGTCTGAATGTGCGTGGATGTTGTGCAAATGATAAGAAAGAGATGATTTTTGGATGTTATGAATGAGAAGAAACTGGATGTCCTGGCTTTAATGAAACAAAGCTGAAGGGGGTGGGAGAGTTTCAATGGAGAGGAATAAATGGGATTAGGTCAGGGGTTTCAAATAGAGTTAGAGCTAAGAAGGAGTAGCAATAAGTTAAGGATAAGCTATGGCGGGAAAAAGAGGACTACAAATGAAATAAATTCAAGATTATGTGGAGTAAAATAAAGTTTGGGATGTGAAAAGGGGGTTTATAGTAAGCGTGTATGCACCTGGAGAAGAGAGAAGTGAAAGAGAGAAGAGAGATTCTGGGAAATGTTGAGTGAATGCGTGGGAGTTTTGAATCAAGTGTGAGAGTAATGGGGGTTTGGGGTTTCAATGCTAAAGTGGGTAAAATGTTATGGAGGGAGTAGTAGGTAATTTTGGGGTGCCAGGGTAAATGTAAATGGGGAGCCTTTATTTGAGCTATGTGTAGAAAGAAATTTGGTAATAAGTAATCATATTTTATGAAAAGAGGATAAAATAAATATACAAGGTATGATGTAGCACGTAATGAAAGTAGTTGTTAGATTATGTATTGGTGGATAAAAGGTTGATGGGTAGGCTCCAGGATGTACATGTTTATAGAGGGGCAACTGATATATCGGATCATTATTTAGTTGTAGCTACAGTTAGAGTAAGAGGTAGATGGGAAAAGAGGAAGGTGGCAACACCAAGTAAGAGGGAGGTGAAAGTGTATAAACTAAGGAGGAGGAAGTTCGGGCGAGATATAAGCGACTATGGCAGAAAGGTGGGCTAGTGCAAAGATGAGTAGTGGGGGGGTTGAAGAGGGTTGGAATAGTTTTAAAAATGCAGTATTAGAATGTGGGGCAGAAGTTTTTGGTTATAGGAGGGTGGGGGCAGGAGGAAAGAGGAGTGATTGGTGGAATGATGAAGTAAAGGGTGTGATAAAAGAGAAAAAAGGTAGCTTACGAGAGGTTTTTACAAAGCAGAAGTGTTATAAGAAGAGCAGAGTATATGGAGAGTAAAAGAAAGGTGAAGAGAGTGGGAGAGAGTGCAAAAGGAGAGCAGATGAAAGAGTGGGAGAGGCACTGTCAAGAAATTTTAATGAAAATAAAAAAAATTTTGGAGTGAGTTAAACAAGTTAAGAAAGCCTAGGGAAAGTATGGATTTGTTAGTTAAAAACAGAGTAGGGGAGTTAGTAGATGGGGAGAGGGAGGTATTAGGTAGATGGCGAGAATATTTTGAGGAACTTTTAAATGTTAAGGAAGAAAGGGAGGCGGTAATTTCATGCACTGGCCAGGGAGGTATACCATCTTTAGAGTGAAGAAGAGCAGAATGTAAGTGTGGTGGAGGTACGTGAGGCATTACGTAGAATTAAAGGGGGTAAAGCAGCTGGAAGTGATGGGATCATGACAGAAATGTTAAAAGCAGGGGGGATATAGTGTTGGAGTGGTTGGTACTTTTGTTTAATAAATGTATGAAAGAGGGGAAGGTACCTAGGGATTGGCGGAGAGCATGTATAGTCCCTTTATATAAAGGGAAAGGGGACAAAAGAGATTGTAAAAATTATAGAGGAATAAGTTTACTGAGTATACCAGGAAAAGTATACGGTAGGGTTATAATTGAAGAATTAGAGGTAAGACAGAATGTAGAATTGCGGATGAGCAAGGAGGTTTCAGAGTGGGTAGGGGATGTGTAGATCAAGTGTTTACATTGAAGCATATATGTGAACAGTATTAGTTAAAGGTAGGGAAGTTTTTATTGCATTTATGGATTTAGAAAAGGCATATGATAGAGTGGATAGAGGAGCAATGTGGCAGATGTTGCAAGTATATGGAATAGGTGGTAAGTTACTAAATGCTGTAAAGAGCTTTTATGAGGATAGTGAGGCTCAGGTTAGGGTGTGTAGAAGAGAGGGAGAATACTTCCCAGTAAAAGTAGGTCTTAGACAGGATGTGTAATGTCACCATGGTTGTTTAATATATTTATAGATGGGGGTTGTAAAAGAAGTAAATGCTAGGGTGTTCGGGAGAGGGGTGGGATTAAATTATGGGGAATCAAATTCAAAATGGGAATTGACACAGTTTACTTTTTGCTGATGATACTGTGCTTATGGGAGATTCTAAAGAAAAATTGCAAAGGTTAGTGGATGATTTGAGAATGTGTGTAAAGGTAGAAAGTTGAAAGTGAACATAGAAAAGAGTAAGGTGATGAGGGTATACAAATGATTTAGATAAAGAAAAATTGGATATCAAATTGGGGAGGAGGAGTATGGAAGAAGTGAATGTTTTCAGATACTTGGGAGTTGACGTGTCGCGGATGGATTTATGAAGGATGAGGTTAATCATAGAATTGATGAGGGAAAAAAGTGAGTGGTGCGTTGAGGTATATGTGGAGTCAAAAAACGTTATCTATGGAGGCAAAGAAGGGAATGTATGAAAGTATAGTAGTACCAACACTCTTATATGGATGTGAAGCTTGGGTGGTAAATGCAGCAGCGAGGAGACGGTTGGAGGCAGTGGAGATGTCCTGTCTAAGGGCAATGTGTGGTGTAAATATTATGCAGAAAATTCGGAGTGTGGAAATTAGGAGAAGGTGTGGAGTTAATAAAAGCATTAGTCAGAGGGCAGAAGAGGGGTTGTTTGAGGTGGTTTGGTCATTTAGAGAGAATGGATCAAAGTAGAATGACATGGAAGCATATAAATCTATAGGGGAAGGAAAGAGGGGTAGGGGTTGTCCTCGAAAGGGTTGGAAAGAGGGGTAAAGGAGGTTTTGTGGGTGAGGGGCTTGGACTTCCAGCAAGCGTGCATGAGCGTGTTAGATAGGAGTGAATGGAGACGAATGATACTTGGGACCTGACGATCTGTTGGAGTGTGAGCAGGGTAATATTTAGTGAAGGGATTCAGGAAACCGGTTATTTTCATATAGTCGGACTTGAGTCCTGGAAATGGGAAGTACAATGCCTGCACTTTAAAGGAGGGGTTTGGGATATTGGCAGTTTGGAGGGATATGTTGTGTATCTCTATACGTATATGCTTCTAAACTGTTGTATTCTGAGCACCTCTGCAAAAGCAGTGATAATGTGTGAGTGTGGTGAAAGTGTTGAATGATGATGAAAGTATTTTCTTTTTGGGGATTTTCTTTCTTTTTTTGGGTCACCCTGCCTCGGTGGGAGACGGCCGACTTGTTGAAAAAAAAAAAAAAAAATAATAATAATAATAATGTGATGTTTTGTAAAGTTGGCCAGTGTTGTCAGGAGCTTGTCTTGAGAGATACTGTATACACTGCAGTACTGTATTTTAGTCTAGTATATGCAGTGTAATGCTCTACTGTAGTGTATACAGTATGTATAATACAGTACCGTAGTGTATGCCGTATAATACACTACTATAGTGTATACATTATAATACAGCTAGGTCATAATTATTGCAAGTTCAAATAATATGAATTTTGATTTAGTTTAAATTATAAAATAATACAGGTCACATTTAATGCCAGCCAGAGCTTAATTAATGTGAGTTTTTTCCCTCAAGATCTTCAGATCATGTGCATAAATAAAGAAAATAATCAAAGTAGGTGGATATACTGTTCAACAAATTTTGAATATGGATGAAACAGGCTTGTTCTGGAAATGCATGCCTCCCAGAACTTACGTTTCTAAGAAAAAATTCAACCTGGATTTAAAGTGTCAAAGGACTGCCGAACTCTTTTATCGAGAGGTAATGCAGAAGCGAATTGCAAAATAATATACTTGTAGCAACAAGACCGCTAGAGGAAGAGTGATGGTGAAGGTGTTTCCTTCTTGGTACCTTCACAGACCGGGCCGCGGGGGCATTGACCTCCGGAACTCTCTCCAGGTAAACTCTCCAGGTAAACCTGTAATATTTTCTTTCCAACCTAGGAGGCCTAGTCTGAGACCAGTCTGTGGGGAAGATAATCCCCAGAACTACCGAACAGATAACTTGGTGGAAAAGAGCCTTTGTGGTAAAATAATTATGATTTACAATCCCAACTGTATTTTTTAAAGGAGATTAAGATATAACCTGCAGTGTGTTGATTGAGTCGGACTTGAGCTCAGACATCCAACAATGTTTAATATGAGATCTGTTCTAGAAAGATACAAGTAATTTTACAGACTGTATTATAAATTTCTACAATAATTCTGAAGACATACATATTACAGGTCTACATTGATGATACAGTGCATTAAATTTTACTTAGGATAACCCAATAAAATCAATGGGGTTTATTTTTATGGTGGTCTTTTAGTTTGACACACCTGGATATCATCTTATATTTATACATAGTTAATTGCCCACTAATTATAATATACAAATAATTTCTTTCTTTTCTACAGTAAACAAGTAATGTAGTTTACATATACTAAAATATTGTTAAGCACAAAAGAAAGCCACTGGCATGTGGTGCATTTTGGGCATAGATCTAATGGAGAAGAAGAGTGACATAACATTCTCCGTGTCTCCGGCCAGGCTTTCACTCAGCCCAAACACACATTTGCCGTGCGTGCAGAGTTCCGCCGTCGCTTTTGCCGTGAGCTGGTACGTGAGGGAGTTGTTGTGGCCTTCTTCTTGCACATAACTGACACAATGTTGCAATTCTGTCACAAGAAGGACAAGGATCCAGTCTTGTTGCTGCTGCTGTCTCGCATGTGCCTTGACCTGCACACTTCTACTGTTCATTACCTGGTAAGTCTTGTAGAAGTATCTTCCATCCTATATTCATCATTATTATCACTCTTACTTGTTCACCATCTTTATTTTATTAATAATGTTTTTTCATCCTACATTATCATTCACCATCATCATTATCACTGTCTCTGCTAGCAACTACTCAGTACCAAGAACATGATACCTCCCTAACAACTCACCTCTGTTGTCACTAATATTATGATGATGATGATGACTACCATTTACCAGTACATCAACAAGAACAAGAAGCACCCTTCACAGCCCACATCTATTATTATTATCAGTCAATCAGTCATCATCATGATCATCAGTTATGATACTGGAGAGTTCCTGTACAAGACAAATTTGATATTTAAGGTTATCCTAAGGTCTTATCTTAGGAGACACCAGTATGTCTCCTTCAGCTCAGCATATTGACATAGGGATGCCTCAGGGCAGTATTCTTGACCCTTTGCTCTTCCTCATATACATCAGTGACCTCCCCAATGCATCTTGTCTCCTTGAACCTGTTCTGTTTGCAGTTGATACACCTTTTGTCATCTCCCATTCAAATCTGATTCCTTTCAACAACTCTGTTAATGAGGAGCTCCTTAAAATGTCTGTATGGATGACTACCAACAAATCACGATTCCTGACTCCTATATGATTCCTTTAGCTTTAGTTCGATGTTTGCTATTTCTCCGAAGAAGCTCATTGCTAGTAATCCCTTCCTTAAATCACTTGTTAAAGCAACTGCTCAAGAAGAAATTTCTTGCCTAACTGGTAGTAATAAGTTATCACAAGTTATATGCACTGATGGATCTAAACAGGAGTCTTCTGGCAGGGCTGCATCTGCTCTTGATGCCACCTCCCTAGTTAACCCTTTCAGGGTCCCCAGGCCCTCGCCCAGACTTGTTCTCAGGTTTGCCTAAATTTAAAAAAAAAAAAAAATTTCTTATGAAAAGATAGAGAATCTTTTCCCGATCATAATGACACCAAAAGTATGAAATTTGATGGAAAACTTACGAAATTATGCTCTCGTGAAGTTAGTGGTCTCGACGATGTTTACGCATCAGCGATTTTGCCTACTTTGAGCCCTATTTTCGGCCAATTCCAGTGTACTAGTCGACAAAAATCATAACTATTTCGCTAGAACTCCATTTTTTCTATCGAATGAGTACAAGAAACCACCCATTTACCTATTTCAACTATCCAATAAAGTGGTCAGAATTTAGCAATTTTGCCAATTTCAAACAAATTTCAAAAGATGCCAATTTCCGAATAGGGTCAAGAATAAACAAGAAAGACATTCCTGGCACTAAAATAACATTTCCTCTGTTCGTTAGTCACGTCCCCACGCCCCTCTTACATTCTTTTGCTTTCCACTTTGAATTTTTATTCTCACTGTTATGCAGACTACTACATTAGTGTAGAAATGGTATAAATAATATTGGTACACTTGTGAAAGAATATTAGACTCACCAGTTGACGTGTATTGGACGCTTAGCATGATTTGTTTACTTTTGAACTTTGGTAAAAATCGAACTTTTCCTACTTTGAGTCAATTTAAAGGTATTTTTTCATTGTAAAAACCTCAAAATCATCTCAATTTCTGAATATGTCTTCCATTCTATAAAATGAGACAGGAAAAACTAAATAAAACAAAAAATACCATATGAAAAACAGTGAAAATTTCGTGTTTTTAACCAAAAACAGGGTAAAATTTTTTTTTTTCTCATTAACGCACTGTGTGCGCAGGTTTTCTTTTATACTGCGCACACTGACCCATAGACCATTTTTCATATGTGGCCACCGCTTTCTCTCGCTAGATTTAGGGCGCAAAATTTAGGCTTACTAGAAATGTAAAAAAACTCTGGTGCGTAACCCGTACTATAAGTCCAAACCTAAAGGGATAAGAACGTAATAAATTTTTTGAGATAGGCATAATTTAAACAAATGGTGTCTTCGCTGCTAATGATTGTTTGCAATCCAAATGGCGCAAAGCTAACCTATGACTTTGAGCTTACTCTATCATCTTGCGATTCAGTCATTATTGAAGGCTTTTGACCTTAAGACTCCAATAACATGCTCTTTGGAGAATCATTAAGATACTCAAAAATCAGGGACAAAGGAATTAATCTACAGTTGCTGTGGATCCCATCAACACTGGATTACCCTTCGATAAATTTTTGATATGTTAGAAAAGAAGAGTACCCAAAAGGGAAATGTAGAATAAAATTTTGGTATAACGGTCTGCATTGGGAAAAATTTGGGAGAGAATAAATAATGAAAATGATTGTTATGGGAACAATTAAACCTGAGTAATCTATAACCCACTATGAAAACACGAACGTAGATAATTTTGTTTATGGAGAAACGGCAGTGTAAACAGACTGACTGATGTTGTAGTGGCCGCTTGGTTTGGTTACATACTGACGATGTTGTAGGGGCCCAGGCTTAGGCTGGTTAAAAGTACTGACTGATTTTTGTAGTGGCCAGGCTTAGGTTTGGGGTTAAAGTACTTCTGGCATTTGGGAGAACACGATGATGATCAAAGTAAATGTAAATTATGTATCAGGCATTGGTTACTGTCTTAAACCTAGGTGCTTTTTTGTCCACTTATTGAAAAATACAGAAACAACAGTATAATAAACTATGTGATATGTCAAGATATCTTATTAATGAAAATAAGATACCGATTTTAAGCAAATTTCCCAAAATTTTGTTTGTAACAGATAAGTGAACTATGTTTTTTTTTTTTTTTTTCAACAAGTGGGCCGTCCCCCACCGAGGCAGGGTGACCCAAAAAAGAAAGAAAACCCCCAAAAAAAAAACTTTCACCCATCATTAAACACTTTCACCACACTCGCCATTATCCTGTTTTTGCAGAGGTGCTCAAATACAAAGTTTAAACATACCATTAAAGATACAAAACTTTCCCCTCCAAACCCCAATTTAAATATGTAGAACAAACCCATATGTATTCCTTTTTAACCTTTTTTTTGGGCCTAGTTCCTGGCCTTTTGTGATCCATAGCTCTCGCGCTACCGTCCACAGGATGGATATGGGGTGCACAATAAACTAGCCACTTCGGTGGCAAAATCTAAAAAATCTAATCAAACTCACTCTTAATATTTATCAAACCTACATGATGTTTGGAAACAGCTACAAATATCCAATTACACATAATGTAAAGGGTTGGGTTGTTTGTCGACCGTCTGCAACTTGAAGTTTAATACCCGTGTCTGATTAATACCCGAAAAGGTTTCCAGGTCATAGGTGACTAAAATGCTGGAAGCAAGCAAGTAGTAACCTCTTATGTATAAATTACTAATGTAAAAAGAAAAATTTCTGTTTCTTCTTTTTTGGGTCACACTGCCTTGGTGGGAGACGGCCAGTGTTTTAAAAATAATGTGTAACTGTATAAATTACTGTCAGTACCATCAGTATTTAGTGCTTTGATTAATTTTAGCAGCTAAATTAAATGTTTGTATATTTAGTTTTAAAAATTCATTTGGGTTTTCTTGCACCACAAGTCCTGTGATGGCCTGCAGTTAGAGGATAAGACGGGCCCTACCCTTCCCCCCACCCACGGAGGTTGCGAGGGGCCGGGGACAGAAACCTTCTAAACCATTTTTTCACACTCAGGGAGCCTCCACCATCAGGTCGTACTTTTTCATCTTTTCATTTGTTTTATAAATTCATCTTGTCTTGGATATTTAATAAAAGTATACACAAGTAGTGATTTATAAAGGCTATGCCCAAAAAGCAGAGGCAGTAAGTTCACACATAAGGGGTGTTGACATCACTCTAAGTCGTGTTCAAACATGAAAAGGGTTCAGAAACTTTCCACAGTAAACAAAATTTAAGAGTGAAACCCCTTCCCTCCAGGGGTGTTTCAACTTTGTATTAAAGTACAAAATTTCCTGCAATGGACATAGACTCAAAATTTTTTGGGCCCTGAAAATGCTTTGTATATGGTTAAAAATGTGATGCGATTTAGGGCCCTTGCCCCCCACGGGTTATGCAAGTACTGTGGTTGATGTAAGGGAAGGCAACACCTCCACAGGTTCACTCTAAATTCCCATAATTTTAAACCTATTATTATGAGGAAGAATTCTGTTCCATTTCCCCCAGGGAGAAAGAGGAAAAAACAAAATAAGAACTAGAAGAAGCATAAGAAAACCCAGAGTGTTGTATATGTATGCTTTACTTGTATGTGCATGGACCTAAGTGTAAGTAGAAGTACAAGAATACCTAAAATTTGCATGAAATGGTAAGTTTATCATACAAAATAAAACTGGAATAGTGCTAAAAACAGAAAATGGATTATTACAAGTAAGATCCGGACATTGTCTCGGATGTAGCATTGATGTTTCCCTTTGGTTACACTACCAAAAATTAAACACAAACCCAATACACAAACACCAAATAAGTATAAATTCATTACAGTAGTAACTAAATAAAGGGATTTTTTGTAACTTTTAAACATTGTAAGTCGAATGGATAGTTTTGCATGTATGTACTGTATTGATTGACATTTCAAAAAAGGGACACAGACAAGCTGTTGCTCTTGTTAATGTCGCTGTTTGTGTGAAAAATTCATTTATGGGAATTTTTTGAAATGACTATAAAAAAGGGATTATAAATATACATGTATTTATTCTTTCTTCATTTTTGTTGAATTTTGCATTTGAAGGTACAAAAAAATTTTTGCACAAAGCCACTTCACTTTTACACTTTGGGGATTGAATTGTGCTGGTTTTATTTCCCAATTTATTTAATATTTATTTTTTCCTGAATGTTTTTTTTTGTGCAGATCTGCGTCGCATGTTGAGTTTAAGGACTGGTTGGGATGTGGGGGGCCCCCTATGTACGCGATCATGAGAACCGCCTCATGAGATTTTTACTATGGAAATCAAGTAAATCAGAATTAGACATATATGTTTTTTGTTTATACCCCAATAAAATTAATTAGGTTTTTTAAAAACCCTTTCCCTCGATACTAACTCTGAAGATACCCCACCCCTTACTAGACCCTTTTTATTACTAGAGGGTCAGGTTTAAATTTGGGAAGAATGGAAATAGACCCCTGGGCCCCCCTTGGGAAAAACAATGAACAAAAAAGTTCCTACCCAAAATTGTAAACAGTCTTTGGTAATATCTTTTAAAGCCTTTGGCTTTAGGACATTTCCAGTGGTTTTTTTAAAACGCTAGGATATCTTTTTGGAAGCCCCAAAAAAGAATCCACCAACCCGGGAACTATAGACCTATTTTTTAAAATTTAATCACGGAAAAAATTTTTGAGAAGATCATTTCCAAAAGATGAACTACTATATGGAGTTTAATCACTTTTACTGAAAAAAAGTTTGGGGTTTTAGAAACTAGAGGTACCAATCATGCAATAAATGTTATTTTTGACCTTAGCAAGTCTAAAAAATCAGGGGAATCTTGCCTTAATTGCCACCCGAGATTTCATAAAAACTTTTTGAAGCTTATGGCATGATGGGGCTTATATACAAACCTCTTGACCTCCAGACCAAATGGACTTTTCTCAGATTTTAAAAATAATTTTTTAACCAAAGAAAAATCATTCTCACCTTTTTTGGCAGGTCGACAGAG